GAGGGTCTTGCAAAGGATCTTAAAGTACTTGTGAGGATTCCTAGCTCGATCAACTAGGATAGGAGATCCGGTCAGATGGCTTATAGGATGCGACAAGGCAGGATGATGTGGCAGGTGTGGTAGAGACTTCCCTAGACATGGTAGATATAGTCCTTATGATGTAATGTCACCGTACAATGTAATAAAGAAAATTTTAGAGCAACAAAATATTCAAGTTGGTTAGCATTATGCGGTGGGATTCATAGTCCTATGTGCGGGTGTTACAAAAGAAACTGATTCGCCTTTTTACTTTTGACTCTTTCATTTGGTTAAAATAGATAAATGTTGAAAAGATTTCAACAAAGTAAAATCGCACTCTGAAAATTGAAATACAAGGAAGAAGGCCATAAACATTCACAAGTTAGATGATTGTTTTGGAGAATGGACTTTCTCAGTGAGATCACTTAGCATCTAATGACTTGAAGATTAAAATGTACTACGCACTCAAAACTTCATTACCTTTCACTGTTTGGCCTGAAGAGACGATATTTGTTGTCTTCTGATTCTGCAAATAGGTTAAGACTTACGAGATATCCAATGGTTGTTCATCATCCTTTGAGTTGTTGCCTGAGGAAGAAGATGCCGGAGGAGCTGACCAGTTTTTTGAAGTGCACGAGACTGTAAGGGATACTGCATCCACGACTACATGAGTAAATGATCCAATTCCAAATGTATATGGGGAGATCAGGCAATGGTAGGTTCTCATTTAAGTAAAGTACCACTTGTTCCATCGTTGGTCTAGATTCTGGAACGATGTTTGTACATAACATTATGATTTGCATTACCTCATCTTATTTTATTTCGGGTCTCGGCCGGAGGCCCATTTTTTGTCATTTATTAATCATTTTAACTTGAGTTTTTGACAGGCCGAATTCAGTGACGAATGTAGCTCCAACAACAATGTAATTTGTGTCATTTGTTTGGGATATTACAAGATTATAAAATTATTAGGTTGTAGAGATGCAAGAAGTGTACGAAGATTAACATGCACGAATATGAATACGAATTTAACATGGAGAAAAAAAAAATCGCAATTTTGTGGAGAAAAAAGTGTAATTATAAAATTATTGACATAGTAATATTGTTAAATGAAAAACGATTACATTTCATTACCTTACCATAGTTTCTAAATGATGACCGACTCTTGTAGAAACTACCACAGAACTAACTCTTGATTTACTTAGATCCAACGGCTGAAATCAGATTTGTTTTTCTTTTCTTTTTGTTGTTGGTGAGTGGAGGAGAAAAGGTCACAGTTCTAGCATTTAAATAAATAGCATCTCTTCCACAATTCTAAACCCTAGTTTCCCTTTTCCTCTTCTTCCATCGAAACCAAAAATTCCGCCGAAACCGTGACCACAAAATCGAGCAGAACCATGACCGGAGATTCCAACAGTAAAGATCTCTATCTCTTGCTCGAAATTGTTTATTGTGTTTTGATTCGCTTATCGTGTTGGATTCGTAATTCTCCTTGTTTAGATCTGTTGTTATACGATTCGTAATTGTCCTTGTTTCGTTGTGTTGTTTTGAATCCACATTCTCCTAACCCTAATTTGCAGTTTAGATCTCTCGTTCTCTTGCTCGAAATTGTTCTAATCTGGTCGATCTGTCATGGTAAAGTAGCTTAACCATTATTGGTTAATATTCGAAATCTGATTGCTTTTCTCTCTCTCAGTTTTGCAGAGGGTAAGATAGGAGTGTTCTGGAACATGGATGACTGCCCAATCCCTGATGTTTGCAATCCTCATCAATTTAAAGAGTTTGTCTTCGCAGCTCTTGAGAATGAGGGTTATCTTGGTTATGTGTCATCCTGGGCTTATTCTGGCAAGACTAGTGTCGTGGAGAACTTGTGGGTAGACTATAATCGTGCCGATATCCGTTTATCAAACAAAGGTCAGTCCCTTTTACTTTGTGTCTTCTCTCTTCGTCAGTCCCTTTTACTTTGTGTCTTCTCTCTTCGTTACTTTATATGTATGTAATCTTGTTCTCCGTTTTGATATAGTGTTTAGAGGAATTAATGGAATGAAGCAGGACATTCTCTTATTTATACTGCGCAATACTGCACCAGCAAATGTTTTGGTAATCTCAAAAGACATAGCGGAAGATAGAGATCTCATGCGTACTCTTGGGAAATTGAAGTCTATCAAGTACAATATTCTCGCTATGCAGCCTGAGCCAGTCAAATCAGAAGCTCTACTTGCTATCATAAGCAAGCTTTGGCTTTGGCCAAGCCAATTAGATGCAGACACGGAAAGCAGCGGAGTGATGCCTGATTCCGAGGACTAGCTTCTCTGTGTAGCGTGGGATTGGACAATAATGTTTTTATCAGTTTCACTTTTATTTCTGATACTTTGCTTTGGGTTTGTTTTTGTGTAAACAATGGCACATTTATTAACTAATCTGGCTGGTCTTATCATGATGTTGTTAGCTAGATGAAATAAGTCCTACACTGGTAGGTTATGTAAGAGCATAAACTTGCTCTAAAGCTTGTGATAAATGTGTAATCCGAACCCATATTGACCATGATAATCCTGAAATTTGTCTTATAATCGAAATTTCGCACTTTTAGCTAGCGTAAATCAACATCTAGATCTCAAATGCAGGCGAATAGCTATAATCTTTGTAATAACTTCGTTTTATTTATGTCTAATTTCGTATAGCGTAATTCTCTTATGCATTGTCTACTATTAATTATCATAGCTATTACAGATAAGCAAGGTTCTCGGAGGCAATGGAAAATAGACTTATTGCAACTTTATGTATTTGAAATTCGTGTACCACCTTATGTACTCACACACACCACTCTACATAACCACCACCACCACATGTTTCACACGAAGAAGAGTCATTGACATAGAAGAACACAGAACATAGTTCTCAGGTGCCAAAAGACAAATCCTATGCCCATATCTTAAGAGTTTTAAAGACAGGTTAAAAACGTAGAACATGCGGGAAAAGGAAAAAAAGGGAGAGAAAACAAACAGACTGTCCGAGGAAAGCAGCATCCTCTTTCTTCATGACCTGCAAAACATGCTAGACGAACGAGCAAGGCGGATAGTCAGACCACAACCTTGAACACTAGCTTCAACCTTGATGGTGTTCCTTTCATATGGCTTTCTGCAACCTGGACAACGCCCATCTCCATCGCAAATCGTCTTGTGGCAGAAAAGGCAAAGCCTAAATCCACAAGGACATGGTAAGAAATTTGAATCTGTTAAGTCCAGATCTTCATAGCAAATGGGGCATGAAGATGGCACTGCCACAGAACTATAATGCAAATTCATGACCGGGAAACTACGCTGCTTCTCCAAATTCGGAAGACCCTGAGGGCGAAGCTTATCGTCTGGCCTCCACGCTTGGTTACTCTTTTGCTTCCTCGACATTGCTGGCTTTACATCCCTTATAGCCACATTAGATCCACTGACTGAAGCTCTAGGAGAAGCTGATTGCTTGATACTTGCATGCTCTTCGCAAGACTCGGGAGGATTCTCTTTCTCGTGCTTGTCGTCATCAGCTGCTAAAGCATCAGCAATAGCCTCCCAATCATCCAAACACCCGTCATCATCAGGATCTTCTTCCTCTGTTATATTACCAGAGCAAGAGCCACCACTTCCACTGCTACTGCTGCTGCTAAAATTGGGGATTGAATTCATGCCACTCAGGATACTGTTAGGGCTATTCGAAAGCGACTCTATAAAGCTCTCATGATGATGTGTTCCACTGTTATCCTCCGCTTCTCTACTCAGACCATCTAAATTCTCCACCGGACGATCTCTCTGATCAGGATTTTCACTTCTAGGTTTCCGATTCGAATCTATTTCCTCCTTATCCCCTTTATTCGCCATTGCAACTAATATAATGAAACCCAAAATTCCAAACCCAAACGAATCAAGAATCTAAGCAAATTATGTAACCGGAAAAAAAGATAGATCCTTTATGATGATCACTCATACCTTGAGAAAGCCATTGCTCACGGCGGAGACCTAGCTTGCTCTGTTTCAATTTGGCAGACCTGTTTGTCTGAGACCCAATGCAATAACGAAGAAACCCACAAAGTACAAATCAAAGAGTGGAATCAAATTTAGAGATGGAAATGAGATTTGAGGAAGATTGAGAGAGAGAAATCAAAAACATACCCTTTTCTTTTTCCCGAAATCCTTGGCGCTTGGGGCTGCAGTTGCAGAAGCGTTGGTGATCGAATCAGAAATCATGGCTTGATTCCGAAACCGCAAAATCAATTCCCTAACAAGAAAAAGGTGGAAGAATTTTGGAAATCACAGAAATGGAGATTCTCAAAAACCCTAAAATCAGATTCGTCGCGAGAAGAAGAAAGAGAGAAACGTGCGATTTTTGTTTTTATTTTATTTTCTCCTTTGTTTGTTGTGTCTGTAAGAGAAAGAAGAAAGATAATATAAAGGGATAACGCAACGGAAACTCCTCGTCTCCGCTCAGAGCATTCCTCGTGACAACAATACCCCTGGTTTTGACTTTTGCACACGATTGAAGCTAGGGGCTGTTTTGTAATTTTGTTAGATCCACACGTGTGGGTTTCTTCAAACGGTGGCGTATGATGGACTACACGTGAGGAAGGCTCATATGATTCACATATCCTATTCTCCTTCAAAAAACAAATCTTTGGATCTTCTTCAATTGTTACTTCTGGTTACAAATTACAATTTACGTAGAAATCAAACAATATAAAAATAAATAAAGTTGTGTATCGATCTTTTGATTTACAGAAACCCTCAAACACACATTTTTCCAAATTTTTCGTGTCATGAAACATGTACTGCAACAGAAAGAAAAAAAAAACATTAACATTTATTGTTTAGTCTAGTCTGATCAGTGATATAAAACAGTAGAAAATAATGGTATAAAATGGTATTATAACAAAAATCAGTAGTACTAGTTTTTCATACCACCAAAATTTTACCGTTCAGTGAATGATTATACAAGAAACTATATAACACAAGATAAATATGTAATTTTATGTAACTCATATGATTAGCTATATCTTATATTTTTGTATTTTAAACATTACCTGCAAGATGGATATTAGAGCAAGAAAGTTTAGCTAGACCAATTTCTATGAATTTAGCAACCTGAAAAAAAAAAAAAAAGCAAATTAAGCAAGAAGAGTATTTTTGCAGCACAAAGAAATTCAGAGACGCAACATCAATGTACCTTTTACCACGTTTTAGAGGGAGAGTACTTCAATCAATGACTAACAACTAAAAATGATAGTGGTTACAGAAAGATAAGTCATGTGCATTAAGACTTAAGAGAGATCAATGGGGCCTAATTGACAACAAACACAAAATAGTGTTAAAGACACAATAACCTGATCTAAAATTAGATATAAAAACAACAAAAGTTTAGGTTTAATCCTTTAAACTGGTGTACCAATTCCAAAGACATGAAGACAAAATTATAAATGTGAAGGTGAAATTGCTGTTGAAAGTTGAAACATGTGGAATGTTTTTTAAATTCCAAAATAGTACAAGAGTAATTAAGCTTTATGACTTAGTTATGAAGCTAACACCGTACTGTTCATTAGAACATTTCAGTATGAAATCAAGAAAATATAAATTATTAGAATTAAAGAAATAAACAAAGGTGAAGTTGTGCAGAATCTGACGTAAGACAAGAAAGAAACAAAAAACCACAGACAAATTATTCGGGAATCTACCTGAAAAGAGAGCTTTGATTGGGTAAGCAAGACATGAATCAATAAAAAGCTTCAATGGATCAGAGAAAGAAAAAGAAAGAAACAGAGTTGTGATATGTTTGTTATCTCACATCAAATTGCAGTTCTTGTGTACAAAAACACAAAAAGTCGATGAGAGAGAGAGCAGAGTATATCGAATCTAAAAAGTAGCTTTGTTTGCTGCAGAACTCGAGGTTAAAAAAGGGCAAAACATGTGTATTCTGAGCTAGCACAGAATCGTCGAAGGTCCGCTTTCCGCTTCGGAATCTCGCAGAATCTCCCTTCCAAAAAATTTCTTCTAAAAACATGTTGGAAGCTTGCAATTTCGTTTTAGAATCTTGCGCTTCCGTTTTTAAAATATTGTACTATAAATAAATAGGAAAAGTAAAATTATTTTTGATATCTCATTTTATAAATACAAAATAAAACCAAAAAC